GGTATTCAGGCTCCCTCTACTGATACGCAGAGGAATCACTAAATTACATATAAATTAATGTTAATACATTTTAATTTAATCTTTTAGTATTTTTTATTTTTATTTTTTTTTTTTAAATATTCTTATTAGGAATAAAACTGCCTCATTTTTTAACTGTGCAGAGCTGTAGCTGAATAGTTAGGACTACTACGCTGCTGAAATGTAATGTTGGTCATTATGGTGGTACTTAAGAGAGCCAAATATTTTCTGAAGTGGTACTTGGTATAAAAAGTTTGAGAACCACTGGTTTAAACATTCAGATTTCAGTTAGAGATATTTCACAGTATCAAAGTTTATATTTTATGAGGATTTATTTTTGGTGTTTTTGTATTTATTTATACAGGACCGTACAGAAAGCGCACAAGTGGGAGAGAGAGGAGGGGACGGTGTCAAAAGGACCTAGATCTGGGACACTTTCAAGGATCACCCCGAAACACAACCACGCTATATGCACAAGGCTGTTGGTTCTAACATTTTAGGGTCCCCCTCGGTAGAAATCACGTTCCCCCCTCGGGGGGCCCCCTATAACACCGGGCCCTTGGAAAGAATATTTTCATCTGTTTTATACCGTATGTTTCCAAAATAAAACTGCTGTTTTACAATTGAGCATGTGGTAGTTTATTGAAGTTGATTGTAAAGCCATTGCTGCCAGTCATTTGATTTTTAACCTTTATAATGTACAGTGTTGATCTAAATGCAAACTAGGCTCTAATTGAACGTACAGTTGTGTATTCACCCATGTTGAAAGGTACATGGGTGAAACAACATCGTGATATCAACGTTGATCTGATTTGCAAAATCGAAACACAATCCAACGTTGATTCAACCATGGTACCAATGTTGATTCACCGGTGAATCAACGCTGAAATGCCGGCTGGGCAACTTTGGGCTACTAAAAAGGTCAGTTTAATCTCGCAAAAACTCCCGTTAATAAAAAAATCTGACTACACTGCACAATCTCTTACACTGCATATTTGTTGTTTATGATGAATTCGGTGCTTGCACGTACACCGCTTTTATTATTATTGCAGCTTAGATGTTCAAATAGCTGCAGTACTCCGACTTTGCCACAAGGAAAAGTGCGTACGCCTGCTCAGACCCACCCGTGGCGGTAAGTACATTTCAACGTCAAAGACCGTTTTTATAAATCTGAACGTTGCCGTGGATTTTACGCACATTTTATAAATGAGGCCCCAGAACGTTTCTCGTTTTTGAACTAATTTAAAACGCTAAACAAACATTTAAAATGTTTCCTTATCATTTTTTTCATTTATTATTTGTGACGTTCTATCGAAGATTATTTTCAGTCCCAGTCGTGCAGCGAGTCTTATAGTAGGCTATTTGTCAAAACGTACCTTTTTCTGTTCCATGAAAGACAGTCATATGGGTTCCTTGTCTACGTCACTATGTGGGAAGATTTGCATAACGCCGCCCAAATGCTCACGCAAAGAAAGAAGGCGTAACTTTTATTCTCGCTGTAGTATCGTTGTTGCCGCCGCAGCCATGTCGTAAAGGCGCTGTGTGTTTGTGTTCTGTGTGTTTCGTTGTGAAAGCGAAACTACTTTGTTTGGTCTATTAATTTTTTTTATTTGGTCATATGAAAATGTAGATGAGTCTAAGTTGAATCAAAAAATAAGACTGATTACCCTTTGGCTAATTGCTAGTTGGTCAGACTACTTGAAGACACTGTTTTGGCACATAGGCTAAGTTTATGCAACTGGCCCCATGTTTGGAATAAAGACGTCTTACTGTGTGAAAACATAACAGTGGAAAGAGACTCGTGCTGTGAGCATCTGTTTATTACACAAATAAGAACTTTATGGCATGAAAACACATCGATAACATCATGATAACGAGATAAACGTTGAGTATAAATATATAGCTTTGAACTACGTGAGTCCCTCTTTACGTTATGACCTGTGGAGTGGAAAACAGAGTAAGACGAGAGGAAATGCATTGCACAAATGCCGACAGAGTGAAAAACAAGTGCTGGCATCACACTAACCAATTTTCAGTCATTTACATAGTCTGTCGTTGGAGAATCAGACAGTTTCATCCATCCTAATTCATCAAAGTCGAGACATTTTTGAATCAGCTAGTGAGACGCAGCGGCAGAAGACAGAAAATATGAACAGTGTCTATTCACCACACATTTGAGGAAGACATGAAGAACATCCACTCAGTGAGGATGAAAAGCTCAATAGTTCTCGTCACTTCATAGCTGATGTCTGCATGACAATTCTAATACTTCATGGCTTTCTGGGTTCAGACCAGTCTGAGATGAGCTCTCTGTAACACTGAGAGGAGAATAGTTTCACAATGGTTCCTTTGACGCATCATACTGTCGTCTCAGATCCGGGCCCCGGTGCCAAAGGTTTGGTTGGAGCAGGTGGTGGTTTCTGAGTTTAAACACTGTTGAGAAGCAGCACTGCTGCTGTGTTTGAGGTCACACTGAATGGATGAGTGTCTGTGTCGTTGTCGTCTGTGGTTTGGAGCGATAAACTGCGCAGACTCTTCTCCAGGTGTGAGCTTTTCTGACTGCTGATGTTGTTTGAAGGTTCAGGTTTAACTTCTGCACCTTCTGCCCTCTCACCTGTGAGAAAACACAAAGAACTGACGAGAATCTATTGATTTATTCAAAACAAATGTAGGGCCTTATGAGATTTTATTTTTTCCCAAATTGCGTGTTTTGCATTTAAATATTTCTGGATTCCATTTTAATGGTTTGATCACATTTTTATAATCAAAAGCATTTCTAATCAATTACATTTATATGTAACAATTTTCTAATTTAATAAAATTTGGACACTATGAAATTATAATTTTTTTTTCTCTCCAAAATTCTGAGTTGTCTGTTTTAATATTTCTGTATTCTGTATTCTGTAACTACACAGAAATGTATGGCAATGTTATTTAAGTATCATTAGTATACTATTATAGTTTTTTAATTAATATTCGGAATGAATTTTATTTTATATTTTTTATATTTATATTATATATTTATATTTTATTTTACATTTTAGTTAAAGTTGTATTAATTTTGTTGTTTATTTCATTTGTATAATTTTTTATATGTTAATATAATTTTCATTACTTTTAAAAGTATTAATTTTTAATTATTAATTAAAGGAAAATTGGACTAAACTGAAATAAGTAACTTTTTATTATTATTATTATTATTAATTTTTATTAATTAAAGGAAAATTGGACTAAACTGAAATAAGTAACTTTTTATTATTATTATTATTATTAATTATTATTATTTTCTTTTTACTTTTTTTTAATTTCATTAACATTTATTTAGTTTTAGTTTTAATTAGCTATAATAACTCATTTACTACCATTGTAAGATTTTTTCAGATGTGTGATTTTTTTCTTTTTAAATGGGACAAATCAAAATTATTATTATTTTTTATTTTTTGTGGAAAATCAACATTATGCCACAAATTCAGTTGATCTTAACTTGTATCGAACCCGGAATATTTCTTTAACACTCACAATATACGAGTAAAAAAATCGCTAGTTGGCCTGTAATTTTATTACTCCATACAGTTTGTCTCTCACCTCTTTCCTGTTCACAGTCGGGTGACGAGGCCCCGCTGCACTCGCTACGAGGGCCCAGCACCGGAGACACCTGCTCTAAACCCTCCAGAGACCCCGAGCCCGGCAGCTGGAGCAGGTCAGGACAGACAGAGAGGGACAGCGGGGACGAGGAGCAGGAGGAAGAGGAAGGGTACGGGCAGGAGGATGAGAGCAGAGGATATGAGGAGGAGGAGGAGGAGGTGTATGGACAGGGCAGGTCGAGAGGAGCGGACGTGGAGCTCATGCTGCAGGTGGACCTCGTCTCAGGATCGTCCTCTGATGGTGAGCCGTTACAGCTGTCCTCGAAATTCACAGACATCACTGAACAACAAACACAGAATGCATTTAGTCTCCAACTTCATGCTGCTGAATAGAGACTATAAACAAGTCCTGTTGAAGTCAAGTCAAGTCAAATCACGTTTATTTCTACAGTGCTTTAAACAACAGATGTTGTTTCAAAGCAACTACACAGTATTAAACAGGTAAGAAACAGAATCAGTGATGCAAACTTCATTAAATATGATACAAATTCAAACTCTGCTGTAAAGCAGCTTTAAAAAGACAGTTAAAAATATAAATTTTTAATGTTTTATTTTTTCAATATTCTTTGAATATAAAAAAACTTTTAATTGAAATAATAAAAAAATTACTGTAATACAATGATTTTTATACTTAAATCAACTAATTAAATTCAATTAACAAGTACTTCCATGACGCAAAATTCCATTACAATTTCAATAATTAAATTCAAATATTATTTAATTTGGATAACAGTAATGAAAAGGTTAAAAAAAGTAATTATATATCATGAAAATAATCAGTAACAATGCAAAAAATCTTAATGGTTTTAAAACTAGCCTTTATTTTCTTTAAATAAAATATTTAAAAATATATACAGTTAATATGTAATTTTATATTATATAAATATGTTATAATATATAATATTTAAATTATATAACATCACATTTAAAATTAATAAAATATAAACTCTTTGATTTTGGGATGAATGTACTTAAATTCAAATAAATAGCAGTAATTTAAAATACAATTCAAAGTAAATTCAAGTTATTTTACTTTGAACTTTAATTCAAAGTGAAATAACATAATCAGTGATGCAAACTTCATCAAATATTAGACTAATTCAAATTCAGTTTTTACAATAGCTCTAAAAAGATAGTTTCATTATTCAGTCAGATCAGTGTTCATTCAGATTTTATTCAATAACCGTGTAAAGTTAATCAATTATAAAAACAAGTTTGAATATTGTAATAAGACAATGATTTTACACATACAGCGGTCCTGAAAACATTTTACAAATAGAAGTTTGTTAGGTTTGAAATGGTAAAATGTAATATTTTGTTATCTGATGCAATGAAATTCATACATCTGTCTACGTTCACAATCCCTTTTTTGTCTCACTGCATTAGCTCAAAGGTTGTTTACACCTGTCTCTTCAATGTAAAACAGGCAGAGCTGAAGCTAAATCAAGCTGAGAGACTTTCACTCTGAATTACAGTCAGATCTGTCTTGGCATTAATGTGTGATCTCACGTACTCGATATGCCGTCAGACTCCATTTTGAAGTTGGAGATGTCATCGGTGGCGGTCCCGTCATCTTCAGCCCCCACCCCTCGGCCCCGGGGCCCCATGGCAGACAGGCGGCGCCGTGCGTGGATCTCATCTGAGATGGTCTCCAGGTTACGAAGGGCGGTTCGATACTCAGCTTTGGCCTGGGTGAGTTTAGCCTGACGCTCGTCCACACGTTGCTTCAGTTGCTGTGAACAGGTCACAAATATTGATCCTCAAACTCAGATCAAATCTACATGTTAAGTTGTGTTTCTAAAAAGAATATTCTTGCATGACTAAAAACATGAAAAAACACTGAAATCAAACGGGGGGAAAAAAAGCATTATATTTTGACTATAATTACGATTTTTTTTTTTTACATTGTGACAATTCACATTATTGTAATGTGCCTGGATGTCTTATTTGTTTGTTTGCTAGTTTATAATTACCATTACAAATTTTTTTTATGGTGAATCTCCTGAGATTCTCAAGACTGTATTACATACTGTATTTTTAATAAAATATCAAATAGATATTATATTATATATATATTACATAAAAATGCCATATAATATTAACAAAATATTTTAATATATTGAAATATGCTTTTTTGTAAAATATTATTTTTAATTATATTTACATTTAATTGAAATATTTTTTAAATCATACAAAAATTACTCATTACAAATTGTATGTAATGTGTCTGAATGGTTTATTATTTATTTAGTAATTTCCATTATTCAGGTGATTCTCATTACTGTATTACGCACAGCATTTTTAAAATAAAATATGAAATATTTTAACTCATATCATTTCATTTTTAAATGTTTAAATAGAATGTTAAAAATATTTCTAAAATATTAATTAAATTAATTGAAGTATGTTTAAAATAATATTAAATACAATTCAAAGTAAATTCAAGTTATTTTACTTTGAACTTTAATTCAGAGTGAAATAACATAATCAGTGATGCAAACTTCATCAAATATTAGACTAATTCAAATTCTGTTTTTACAATAGCTCTAAAAAGACAATAGTTTCATTATTCAGTCAGATCAGTGTTCATTCAGATTTTATTCAATAACCGTGTAAAGTTAATCAATTATAAAAACAAGTTTGAATATTGTAATAAGACAATTATTTTACACATACAGCGGTCCTGAAAACATTTTACAAATAGAAGTTTGTTAGGTTTGAAATGGTAAAATGTAATATTTTGTTATCTGATGCAATGAAATTCATACATCTGTCTACGTTCACAATCCCTTTTTTGTCTCACTGCATTAGCTCAAAGGTTGTTTACACCTGTCTCTTCAATGTAAAACAGGCAGAGCTGAAGCTAAATCAAGCTGAGAGACTTTCACTCTGAATTACAGTCAGATCTGTCTTGGCATTAATGTGTGATCTCACGTACTCGATATGCCGTCAGACTCCATTTTGAAGTTGGAGATGTCATCGGTGGCGGTCCCGTCATCTTCAGCCCCCACCCCTCGGCCCCGGGGCCCCATGGCAGACAGGCGGCGCCGTGCGTGGATCTCATCTGAGATGGCCTCCAGGTTACGAAGGGCGGTTCGATACTCAGCTTTGGCCTGGGTGAGTTTAGCCTGACGCTCGTCCACACGTTGCTTCAGTTGCTGTGAACAGGTCACAAATATTGATCCTCAAACTCAGATCAAATCTACATGTTAAGTTGTGTTTCTAAAAAGAATATTCTTGCATGACTAAAAACATGAAAAAACACTGAAATCAAACGGGGGGAAAAAAAGCATTATATTTTGACTATAATTACGATTTTTTTTTTTTACATTGTGACAATTCACATTATTGTAATGTGCCTGGATGTCTTATTTGTTTGTTTGCTAGTTTATAATTACCATTACAAATTTTTTTTATGGTGAATCTCCTGAGATTCTCAAGACTGTATTACATACTGTATTTTTAATAAAATATCAAATAGATATTATATTATATATATATTACATAAAAATGCCATATAATATTAACAAAATATTTTAATATATTGAAATATGCTTTTTTGTAAAATATTATTTTTAATTATATTTACATTTAATTGAAATATTTTTTAAATCATACAAAAATTACTCATTACAAATTGTATGTAATGTGTCTGAATGGTTTATTATTTATTTAGTAATTTCCATTATTCAGGTGATTCTCATTACTGTATTACGTACAGCATTTTTAAAATAAAATATGAAATATTTTAACTCATATCATTTCATTTTTAAATGTTTAAATAGAATGTTAAAAATATTTCTAAAATATTAATTAAATTAATTGAAGTATGTTTAAAATAATATTAAAAATACTGTAATACAATGATTTATGTACATCAGCATAAATTCAGTACAACAGATACTACAATTATGCATAAATCATTGCAATTTAAATAATTTCAGAATATATAAAATAAAATATTATTTTATTCACATTACAGTAATTTGAATTTAGGCTCAAATTGGTTCTTATTAGTCATGAAAAGCATAAAAATCACAATCTTCATTTCTTTAGATAATACATAAAACACAATTGTTACTCTGGAGCACAAAAGCAGTCTTAAGTCGCTGGGGTATATTTGTAGCAACAGCCAACAATACATTGTATGGGTCAAAATTATTGATTTTTCTTTTATGCCAAAAATCATTAGGATATTAAGTAAAGATCATGTTCCATGAAGATATTTTGTACATTTCCTACCGTAAATATATCAAAACTTAATTTTTGATTAGTAATATGCATTGCTAAGAACTTCATTTGGACAACTTTAAAGATGATTTTCTCAGTATTTAGATTTTTTTGCACCCTCAGATTCCAGATTTTCAAATAGTTGTATCTCGGCCAAATATTGCTCTATCCTAACAAACCATACATCAATGGAAAGCTTATTTATTCAGCTTTCAGAAGATATATAAATCTCAATTTCGAAAAATGGACCCTTATGACTGGTTTTGGGTCACAATTTATTTATTTGATTTTGGGATTAAACATTCTTAAAGTATTATTTTGTGCAAAATAAAAACTGGCGTACCTCGAGCTGTAGGTAATACTTCGCCTTTAATTCAAAGTATGGCCTGCAGAGGGAGAGAGAGAGAGAGAAAGATCAGAGCAGAGTGAGTGTTAGAGCCGGTTTCCATGGCAACAGCAGGACCGGCACATTCCAGCAGCAGAAGCACATCTGGAACCCATTAGAGACTAATGGGCACACTGAACTACATGTTTGAAATGAATTCTTATGATGCAAACCCTGAAGAACGTGTGCTTACAGAACTTGTTCCAGCAAGATTTTAGGGAGTCTTCGCTTTATGTCTATTGCAACATGATTTATATGTATGATCATTATGTAAGTGAGTGTTGTCATTATGTCATCGTAGTCAGTTTGAGGACTTGGGTCAAACGATTGGGTTCGGTAAGATTTCTTAATGCTTTTGAAAGTAGTCTCTTCTACTCACCAAGGCTGCATTTATTTGATCAAAAATACATCAAAATTTGTGAAATATTATTACTATTTAAAATAGCTGTTTTCTGTGTGAATATATTGTAAAATATTATTTATTTCTGTGATGCGCAGCTGAATTTTCAGCATCATTACTCCAGTCTTCAGTGTCACATGATCTTCAGAAATCATTCTAATATACTGATTTGCTGCTCGAGAAACATTTCTGATTATTATCAGTGTTGAAAACAGTTGTGCTGCTTCATATTTTTGTGGAAACTGTGATCCATTTAATTTTTCAGGATTCTATGATGAAAAGAACAGCATTTATTTGAAATGGAAATCTTTTGTGACATTATAAATGTCTTTAGTGTCACTTTTGACCAATTTAATGCATCCTTGCTGAATAAAACTATTTTTCTTTAAATCATACTGACCCCAAACTTTTGTATGTATATCAAACACATCGATTGCTGTCCTCTGACCTGGACTTGTTGATGGTGCGTTTGAGTTTTTTCTCCAGTTGTCTCATGTGGCTGATGGCGGTGTTGTATTTGGCCGCTGTTTCTCTGTGCTCGATTTCGCTGCGTGTCCTGCTTTGCTCCGCCTCCATCACCTGGAACAGCCAATCAGATCAGTTCAGACAAAATGAACTGCATAGCAAAGAGTACAAAAGAACAGGGTCTTAGCTGTTTTTTCAGTTGTCTTGTCTTTCTCACCCTCTGGGTAGCGTGGTTGAGCATCTCCTGCCAGGCCGAGTCAAACTGCCGGCTGTCCTCCTCCAGCAGACGCTCCTCGGCCAGTGCGATGGTCTCTTTCGCGGCCCGGAGGATCTCGATGGCTCGCTGATACTCCTGCGTGGCTCTCTGAGCTTCAACCTGAGCCTGAAAGAGAAAAGCATCAGAGATTGAGGATGCTTTCACAGTTTTGCTGCAGAACGAGCTGTTTGTGTGATGCAGTGTGATGCACAAAGCAATCCGCTGTAATTTGCAGACTAATATATGATGCATGTCTCAGCAGAAACTGCCTTCAGTGAGCAGCTCACATTCTTCATCTCCTGTAATGCACTGCTGACAGTTGCAAGCGTGCACATGTTAAGATGTTACATAAGAGATGATGACGCTTCCTTAGTGTTGCCAGGATACAGTAGTAAACAGCTGCTGTCAATAATCACTCATTTGCTCATATTAATGACGCAAATGAACCACATAAAAGTGCCATGCACTACAATGTGAGAAGTTCTGCTGGGAAGTTTCTACCAGTGAAGAAAGAATCACAGTTTGATTAGTAACTTGGTAACGCTTTACAAACAAAAGGTTGTTTGTTTACATTAGTTAACATGGACTAACAATGAAAAATACTTCTGAAGCATTTATTAATCTTAGTGAATGTCAGTTTCAACATTTACTAATGGATTATTAAAATCAAAAGTTAATAAATATTTAATTTTTTAACAAAGATGAAAAAATTATTGTGAACTAAAATTAAAATGAAACAATAAAATGTTACTTTAAATAAAATAAGTGTTACCTGGAATGAAATAACATAAAATAATTAAACTTAGCAAGTTGCTAAGGCATCATTTCTCATTTTCTTTTACTTCAACGTGAAGTACTAAAATAACTGAAAACAGAAAATAAAACAGAAATAAAATGTAATAACTACTATATAGAAAAAATAGAATAAAAATGTAAAAAACAACAAAATTAGTAAAAAAAATTAGTAAAACGGAAATTATAAATATAACGACTGATTCAAAATATTAATAAAAAATATATAAATAATGCTAAAATAACACTGTAACTAATGCATTTCTCATTTTTAGTAAATTAAACTAACAATAACTAATGGGACCTTATTGTAAAGTTTTTTTCTCCTTATTTTTTTTTTTATTTCCCCTCAATGAACAACAACCCATAAAACATTATCAGTGACAATAATGCTGCACTTGAAATAAAATAATGAAAACTTAAACTTATTTTATTTCAGCTAGTTGCCAAGGAAACATTTCTAATTTTCATTTAGTTTAAGTGCTAAAATAACTAAAACTACAACATAAATAAAAATGAATAAAAACTAAGACATACTTAAAAAAAAAAAACTACAAAAACTCACAAAAAATTACTTCAGTCTGAGACTGAAACGAGATTCAATCCCTGTGATTCCTATCAGTGCTGACAGATTAGCGAGATTAGCATTACAGCGGATCATGTGACCACTGCGGGACCAGCTTCTCCTTTAGAGACGATCCCTCATACATCATTACTCTAAACCAACAACCTCAGCAACCTTTGAAGGAGTGTTTAACATTCAAAACAAGTTAATCACAGATGCTGTCTATAGAGTTTAGCACAAAACAGTTCAACTCTGACTAACAAACCAAACAAGAACTCCGTTTATAGTAAAGAACATAACATTTTATTTAAAAGCAGCTTGTGCTTTTCTTTAGCGCTTGTAAATATGTAAATTCTATTGCACGTGTATTATTAATGTATTATTTGAGCTGAGAAGTTGTCCGAATTGTAATTTTGTCTTTTCATATAAAATATATCATATATAAATATTTCATATATATTTGTCTTTTTCATAGCCATATAAACTATACATTTGCATTTATAAGTATGCATTACCGTTACTTTCCAGTACAAATATCCAAACTTTCCTAAATCAAGATACATTAACTTGAGGAAAAAACAAAACAAAAATCCAAATTAAGCAAGTTTATACTTAAAACAAAAACAAATATCTGCCAGTGGGGTCAGAAAAATAATCTGTTGTTCGCTTATTAATTCAGTTTATTTTTGACCCCATTGATACATTTTTTTCTTGTTTTAAGCTTAATTTTGATATATTTTTCAGAAAACAAAACTTAGTACCTTGTGTCATTTTGCTTGCATCTTAATTTCAGAATGCTCAGATATTTGCAAGGCAAAAAAATAATAATTTTTTTTGCATTTGCAGTTAATTTCTTGTATCCTTGCTTATATCATATAAAAGTTTACCCGTTTTACAGTCATTACAGGATATAAAAAAAATGGATAACTTTACATGAACAAAGTGATTTAAAGTGATATTATCAAAAGTGAAAGTGACGTGACGTGGCCAAGTATGGTGACCCATACTCGGAATTAGTGCTCTGCATTCATCCCATCCTAAGTGCACACACACAGCAGTGAACACACACACACACCGTGAACACACACCCGGAGCAGTGGGCAGCCATTTATGCTGCGGCGCCCGGGGAGCAGTTGGGGGTTCGGTGCCTTGCTTAAGGGCACCTCAGTCGTGGTATTGAAGGTGGAAGAGAGCGCTGTACATTCACTCCCCCCACCTACAATCCCTGCCGGTACGAGACTCGAACCCGCAACCTTTTTGGGTTACGAGTCCGACTCTCTAACCATTAGGCCACGACTTCCCCTTATACTAGTACCATTATACTAGTTTCTTATTAACTCTATAATGTCTTTTTCTTTATTTCTTGCATGCTTTCTCTGTCTGTGTCACAGTCCGTTAAAAATCACAGCAGAGTCAATGGCTCGGTCAGTGCTGTCTGAATGTCATTGTATTTCTGTTTTGCATGGAAGAATACATTTCTGGCCTGAGACACAGACCTCATCTGAAGTGTTAAGTGAAGTGCACAGGTGGAGAGAGCTGTTGAGGGAGATGTAGGGCACTTACGCCGCACCGCTGAGATGAAGGGCACACTTGGTCTCCTCCAGTTCATGAACGTGTTAGCTAATGCGTCACGTCAGACGTGTCCAGAACTGACCTTTCGGAGCATTGTTCAGAACTGACCATTCAACATGATGAATCAATGCATGTACTGCAGTAAACAAAAGCTGCATTTAGCCCACTGCCAACGCAAGGATGTGATGGCCACAACGCTGAACACTCAACTCTGAATAGTAATAGACTCATACATTAACCAGACTGATATTTTAAGTTGCAAAGTGTTTGTTTAATTTCAGCAATTTTCTGTAGGTCTCATTTGTTTTCATTAAACAGTATTATATTATATTTGTACACTACCTTACAAAAGTTTGGGGTCGGTAAGATTTTTTAATGTCTTTTGCTTACCAAGGCTTTATTTATTTGATTAAAAATACAGTAAACTCAATAAAATGGTGAAATATTTTTACTACTTGAAATAGCTGTTTTCTAGTTTCTGTTTTGAATATATTACAAAACTGTAATTTATTGCTGCTGAATTTTCAGCATCATTACTGCAGTCTTCAGTGTCACATGATCTTCAGAAATCATTCTAATATGCTGATTTGCTGCTCAAGAAACTTTTCTGATTATTATCAATGTTGAGAACAGTCGTGCTGCTTCATATTTTTGTGGAAACTGTGATGTTTTTTTGTTTTTCAGGACTCTTTGATAAATGGAAAGTTCAAAATAATAGCATTTATTTGAAATATAAATCTTTGTAAAATGATGTATTTTTCTCTTTTTATCAATTGAATGCATCCTTGCTGAATAGAAGTAAAAAAAAAAGTCAGTAGTGTATATTCTTCTTTTTTTCAGTATGTGCTATTACAAAAATCCATGACTCAATCAACAGCCAGTTGTGCACCACATGACCACAGAATAATGCAGGACTGCATCCTACACTAGAGATGATGAGAGATGATGCATTTCTCCTCCTATGTAAACAGATCATTGTGTGTCACTCATAATAGTGTGATTTTGAGTGAGCTGCTCCATCACAAAGAGCTACAGTGTGGGTCCGGCGGGGTCTGGAGAAATGACCGGCATAAAGCCGTCACTGTTGTTGTTATGTAATCTCGTGATGAGCTGTGTGCCTAAAAACCCTAAAGATCCTGTACGGCCCACTGAAGGGTTTAAGTTTTGAACGTTTCTGAAAGTAGTCTCTTCTGCTCACCAAGGCTGCATGCATTTGATCAAAAATACAATCAAAACAGTAAAAATGTAAAATATAATTACAATTTAGAATAGCAGTTTTCTATGTGAATATGTTATAAATTGTAATTTATTCCTGTGATCGAAGCTGAATTTCCAGCATCATTACTCCAGTCTTCAGTGTCACATGATCTTCAGATATCATTCTAATATGATTTGCTGCTCGAGAAACATTTCTGATTATTATCAGTGTTGAAAACAGTTGAATATTTTTGTGGAAACTCTGATGCATTTTATTTTTTCAGGATTCTTTGATGAATAGACAGTTCAAAAGAACAGCATTTCAGTAATATTTTGTAATATTATAAGTGTTTTTACTGTGACTTTTGATCCATTTGATGCAGCCTTGCTGATTGAAAAAATTAAATCTTAGTGATGCCAAACTTTTGAACAATTGTGTGTGTGTGTGTGTTTGAATATAATCTTATGATTCTCAGTGTCATATAATCAAATCTAGATTTTTACAAAAAAAATAGGGTGTTGCTATGTGGTTTCCAGGGTTTTCTGGGTGGTTGCTAGGTGTTTTCTTCCTGTGTGTTCTGAAAAGATGTGCAAATGTGCATCTGTGGGATTTTTCATCTGTTTTACCACCATTTCCGTTTGCTACAATTTTATTAGTACATTTTAGAGAGGCTAAGTAGCTTCATTTTAGTTTAACTACTTGAAATTAGCATGTGTCTGCTTAAGCTACAGTTTCTTAGCCTTTCGACACTCACAGGGTGAAGTTCAGGTGAGGCTGAGCTCTGTAAACACTGCCATGACAGATTAGAGTTACGTCAGGGAAGATTCTCACTTGCCGTGGAGATTTTAAGGTCAAAATTACACACTCCTTTATCCACCAGTCTCTGTTCACACACACTTGTTATGTTCTCAGTGTCTGAAGACGGGACAGAAACACACCGTTTTTCTTCCTGGTAATGTTTTTGACAGGCAGCACAAGCATGTGATTTTTTTTTTCTGGTTTCCTGACCTATTTCTTTCCCAAACTCGGTCAGACAGATGGGTTTTTCATGAGCGGCATTCGCTGAAATCGTGTTAAATTAAGATTTAATGAGCTCAGCAGCATCATCTGAAGATGCAGAATCACTTCGGCACACCCTAAACTCTGTCTGACCTACTAAAAACAGTGACCCACTACTTCAGCTATCAAAGCAATTTCATCCACAAACAGAGAAAACTAGCTGCTACTGACACAATAACTCTCCGTTAAAGGCAGAAAACTTCCTCATGTTTTTATTAGCATTCACTAAAATGCAGAAGTATAGTATACTTCACCGTCTCTAAATAATCTACAAACTTCCTCCTGCCTGTTTTAGCATGACCACACTGGAAGATCTATTTCTTTGGGTTATATCTTGACGTTCCTCCATATATGACACATATGAAGAGCTTTCATAAATCTCCCAGCATCCATTACAAACCAGAGGAATTCCACAACCTCATCCAAAATGAGACAAAGACGGCTGTTTTCCATCTGCTCTAATGGCCTTTGGGTGGAGCAGAGAATAAACAGTCCAGCTCTTTCTTCATGCAATCCAAGCCCTCTCTGTTTCTCTCTGTCCATGAACACTTTCCTATCATAACAAAAGTAATTTGACATAAACTTTCATTTTCTTGCTTTTCCAGAAAACTACGGCGGACCTGAACTGCAAAACAAAATCGATCAACAAATCAGAAAACACATAAATCTGACAGAACTTGCATCAGTCAGGTGAGCAGCTATGTTTACCTTTTCCAGTTCGAGTTGCACTATTTATACTTCGGGGTTCCTGAAGAAAACAGGGGAAAAAAACGTTCACCGTTTCCAGTGTTCTGAAATGGAACACTAGCTCACTGAATATTACACTGTATACTGTATACTACTATTTTTTTTTAATTGCACGTGATGCAGTATGCAACGATAACCAAACATATACATTAGTAGTACACTAGTATCACTAGTGCATATGTAGTACACTAGTATACTACTATGTTGCTATATGACCTCAATTCAGTTACTATTTCAGATATGACAACTATTATTTAGATATTTTTGTCTAATTTTAAGAAATGTCTAAACTAATTAAGTCCAGAAAAGATCAGACTTTCATTCATTCAGCACACTATAAATACAAGGTTAAGTCAAGTGCAATGCATTATGGGATGCAGTATTCCCTGTTGCACATTTTGCAAATGTAGCTGGTCATTCAGGTATTCCGTGAATACTGAAAATGTGCATATTTGCACTGTATACTGTTGTATAATGCTTACTGAACAAACAGTATGAGTAAAATGAGTGGTTTGATAGTAACATATAATGTCAGTGGGTAATCAAAGTCTAACTGTCTTATTTTAATTCTTTAAGTGTGCAATTTGCAGCAAATGTAGTATGTGATCTGTGTATTCTATGCATGCATAAAATGTGCACACTATGCACTGTATACATAATGTATTCTGCAGATATAGTACAGGTAGTATGGTGGCATGCAGTTTTTAAGACCAGAAAAGAAATGTGCAAACAATTTCTTTAATATTTTAATGTCCAGCTGAAAGATGAGCTAAAAAACGTTCTACATTTGCATATATGATTGGAGACTGGAGTTAATTTTAGCCAGTCAAATGCAGTCACAGTCTGGATGACACCTCCATGTGCTGTCTAACCTTGATAATGTGTGTGTGTGTGTGTGTGTGTGTGTGTGTGTGTTTGTGTGTGTCTCTTTTATAACCTCCGTTCACACACAGACACACACACATGCTCTATCTATCTATCTATCTATCTATCTATCTATCTACACAGACACACACACATGCTCTATTTATCTATCTATCTATCTATCTGTCTGTCTGTCTGTCTGTCTGGTCAGCGGAGGTGTGGTCGTGTGCTGTGCCCTGATTGGCTGTAAAGTAGGCGTTGGCACTCTGACTGAGAGACAGCTGGCACCTGACCGTCTGTCTCATCTACTGACATAGACAGATCATGGTGGTCTTTCAGAGTGATGACAGGACAGTTAAGACCACCTTCATTTGATTGCCAGCACAGACAAGCGCGCACACATCGATTAGCACCAATTTAGTGTAAAAAGCACAGAGACAAACCGCACAATAATACTTGAGGGCTTTACACAGATCACAGATAGTGATATAATGCATAATAAGATTAACTCCAGCCACTAAATCATATTAGCTAACATGCATAACGGTGTGTGTGCTGTACATATTTACTCCACCTGAATTATTATGCATTGCTGTGAAAGATTTTGATGAATCATTCACAGTGAGACCAGGAACATGAATGAAGAAAGGAAAAGGTAATAAGGTGTAATAATGCTTACAGACGCTATAGAGATACGACTCCAATGACTTATTATTTATGTGTTTGCTTCTGCTCTAATGAATCAGGTTTTACCAGGAGCTTTTAAAAGATTAGCTGACGATGTCTTTTTCCTGGCAGCGTTTTACTCACTCATGACTAATCTCAGATCATTTTGTTTTAATGTATGTAAGAATAGACTGAGAATATGAGCTTCTGACTGTCTAAAGATTTTTAGCATCTTACTAGTAAGCACATAAATTAGTTTGTCTAATGCAGTTATAGTTTTTTTTTTTTTTAGAAATTCATATTTTTATTCAGCAAGGATGAGACAAAAATATGAAGCACCACAACTTTGTTCAACATTGATAACATTGATAACGTTTCAACATTGATAATAATCAGAAATGTTTGTTGAGCAGTAAATCAGCATATTAGAATGATTTCTGAAGGATCATGTGACTCTGAAGACTGGAGTAATGATGCTGAAAATTCAGCTGCGCATCACAGCAATAAATTACACTTTACAATATATTCGCATAGAAAACAGTTATTTTAAATTGTAATAATATTTCACAATATTACTCTTTTTACTGTGCTCTTTATCAGCTAAATGCAGCCTTGGTAAGCAGAAGAGACATTAAATATATGTTTGGGGTCTTATCTTTCTGATAAAATTTGTGATTATAAACACACTTTTGTTCATTTGGACTGCGTAATAATTGAGTAAGAGCCAGAAGCTGAGCAGAACTCTCACCAAAGTCCCCTCCTGGATATAAAAAGCTCTTTTATGACTGTGTCAGAGCGACATTTGTGTTGATTTATCACTGTCACAAGGTGATAATATGGAGAATTTCATGGCTGGAAGCAGCAGTGATCTCAAATCCTTCTTCGCTCACAGCAGACGCTCTAATCTACACACACTTTCACATGCCACTAATGACAGATGCTTGTTCATAATAAAAAAACTAGATTGATTTTGTGTTAAGGAGTTGTGGGTCATTGTGTTCTGAGGAGAAGAGCCTTTTCATGCATTTAGACACATCAGAAGGACGTCATGTTCAGTCTTCTCTCCAGAGCTGTTTCTATCTATGGAAATGCCAAAGTCTGTTTGCTAACAAATTCCCCTGCATCAGTACGCTGGACTGCAGGTCGTTCATTATTGAGATGCTGACAGCGCAGGCTGGGTTTGGGGGTGGAAGGTGCTCATTTGATTATGAGAAGTTAATCTGCACTCTCAGAAAAAAAGATACAAAAGCTGTCACTGGGGCGGTACCTTTTTTAAAGGTACACTTTTGTACCTTTTAGGTACTAATATGTACACTTTAGGTACTTATATGTACCTTTAAGGTAACAATATGGACTCTTTAGGTACAAAGGTGTGCCTTTTGAAAAGGTACTGCCCCAGTGACAGCTTTTGTACCTTTTTTTCTGAGAGTGTGGGGCAAATGTGTTTTTCTTAACATCTGCTCCTATATTTATATTCTTTCAGAAGATCATACTTTCTTTGATCATTGAACACTGTAGTACATTAATAATGTAAATGTGCTGTTTTACAAGGATTACACTATTAGTTCATGCAACTTTACAATGTAAATCAGCTCTTAAGTGCTTTTGCACTGCTTAAATAATGTAGTATAATATAATGTAGCAGACCGGGCAGGGCACAATAATAATCTTTTACATTGTAATCCTTTCATTTTTAATATTTGGCATGTTTGTGCGCTGCTGCGCGTCCCTGTGTGTGTAATAAGCAGAGTGTACGCGCGTTGTTCACCCACCTATAGGCGCATATTACTAACGCGCTCTTTAATTAACAAAAAATAAATAAATATTGTGCCACTGACTTTTGTCCAGGTTTCAGTTGGTCAAAGGCGCAGTCTATTTCAGTTGCCTCAAAATAGCAACGCGCCAACAATGCGCCTAAACACACCTCGTTATCAGACCAGCATGCCCATGGGTGCATAAATGGGCGCAAATGCATTTGCTATTTAAACGTGGCGCAGGACGTGAAAATGATAACATCGTCGGGCTGAAACTAGCAAAAAACACTTGTGTCTGATAGTTTTTGGTGGCCAATATTTCGGTGCATCCCTAATTCCTTCCTTAGATGAGATTCCAGAAGACTCCACACCATGCAAACTCCAGCATAACATATTACTATGAACAAACTGCAGATGGACGACGAGTTCAAGCTCACCTGACGCGCTGCCCTCCTGGCCTCCCAGTACGGTTTTGAGTCTTCTACAGCTTTACCGATCTTCTTTACCTGCTCGTCCAGCTTGACAGTGGCCTCCACTAGGACGGCACGAAACTTCTGCCGGGAGTCCTGCAGAACAAAGACCAGTAACACATTATGGGGGTGATTAAATCTAAATTCAGATGCTCAGGTATATCAAATGTATATCCAATGTTTGCATGGTCTCTGACACTGAATCTCGATATACTGTCAAATTCAATGTGCAGTTCTTCAATTCAGATGTAGATGAGTTTGTTTCTTCATCAGATTTGGAGAAATGTAGCATCACTTGCTCAGCAATGGATGCTCTGCAGTGAATGGGTGCCGTCAGAATGAGAGTCCAAACAGCTGATAAAAACATCACAATAATCCACACCACTCCAGTCCAGCAGTTAACATCTTGTGAAGTGAAAAGCTGCGTGATTGAAACAAACAAATTCATCAAAATGTTTTTAACTTCAAACTGTTGCTTCCGGCTAAAATTCAACTCCATAATAACGCTTCCTCCAGTGAAAAAGTCCATCTCCTGTTGTTTCTCGCATCAAAATCAACCCACATATTTGTTTAGAGCTGTTTTGGCTTGTAAACGGTGCTTGATCTTTCTCTCCTGATTCAGACGAGATTACTTTTTCACTGGAGGAAGTGTTCTTATGGATTATGGACTCATATTTTAGCCAGAAGCAACGGTTTGAAGTTAAAAACGTCTTAATGATTGATTTGCTTCTTACAAACATGCAGCTTTTGGCTTCTCAAGACATTAACTGATGTACTGGAGTGGTGTGGATTATTGTGATGTTTTTATCAGCTGTTTGGACTCTCATTCTGACGGCACCCATTCACTGCAGAGCATCCATTGGTGAGCAAGTGATGCAGTGCTACATTTCTCCAAATCTGATGAAGAAACAAATTCATCTACATCTTGGATGGCCTGAAGGTGAGCACATTTTCAGCTAATGTTTATTTTTGGGTGAACTATTCCTTTAACACAACTTTGTCTCCTAATGAAGTTCATTCACACTTCTAAATATTGCATAAAGCCATCCAATCAGATTGAAAAACTGCATTTTTGTGTGCAGTATGCATCAGTAAACAGTGCGGTCTAAGGTCTTTGTGATGCATTATGGATAATATATTTAATTCAACTACTGAATAAAAGACAGTGACAGATGATTTCTTGTCTTTGTGTTGACAGGCGTATTCAAGAGTGAGTTCATGCAGTCTATGAAATCTGAATAAATCTCAGTGCATTGAAAGGCTCATCATATCCAGGCAGCGTGAACTGCGTGCTCAGGAATCTCTCTGAATTATGTGCGTCCATCTTTCAGTTTCACAGCAATGAAACGCTTCAATAATCAGCCTTTTGTTGCTCCCTGAAAAGCGCTGCTTCAGCTAACGCAATTCAGCATTTAACACAGTTAAGAAAGAATCTACACCCTGCTTTCTAGACAGAAAACTCCCCCTCAGCAGAAAGAAACCAAACATCACGTTTGTTGAATAAGATGAGCGGAGGGCCAGTGCATTCGAGTCGTGCGTGAGTATGTGATGTGGTGTCCAGCTCTGAATGAATCTGTCGTCGGGTGGGTTCGGTCGCTCAGATGACATATTTAAAAACACTGACATCTACATCCTTCCATACAGGATCTCAGTGACAAAAAGTGTGTTTTTTTTTCAGTTTTAGTTAACCATAATAACCCTGCTTGGCAGCTAGGTTCGGTTGCTCAGATGACATATTTAAAAACACTGACATCTACATCCTTCCATACAGGATCTCAGTGACAAAAACCACGTCAGAGGGACACTTCCTGGTTCATTCTGCTGAATAAACCACAGGCCAAATACAGTAAAATGCAGAGAACTGTGGATGAGCATTCATAATATTTTTTTTTTTTTATAAAATACAGAGGTCTGATGAGGAACAAATAGTCATGAATCTGAAATTAAGAGGACTTTAAAATGACTTGTATCTGAATTCTAGGGTTATTAAAACTAAATATTTTTGTATCAAGATACTATTATAGTTTTTAATAATATATAGTTTTATTAATATGTTTATATTTTCTGTTTTGTTTTCATTTTAATTTTAGTTACAGTTTTAGTAATTTTGTAGTTTTTTTGTCATTTTATTATTTATTACATAAAAATATTTGTGTGTTTGTGTGTGTGTGTGTGTGTTTTTTTCAGTTTTAGTTAACCATAATAACCCTGCTTGGCAGCTAACTAAAATAAGTTTATGTTGAAGCATTAAAGTTACTAACTGGAAATAAAAAAAAATAAATAAATAGTAATAATAAAATTAAATAAAAATGAATTAAACCAAGCTAGTAACATAAAAAACGAATAAAATAAAATTACTAAAAATTAAATGAAATTATTAAAAATTAAAGAAAATTGAAAAAAAGAAAAATTACAGCTAATTCTAAATATTAATATTAAAATGTAAAATATTAAAATAAAAAATATATTAAATACTGTAAAATCTTAATAAAAATATGAAAAATATAATAGTAAATAAATTTAAAAAATGCTAAAATAACACAGATTCTACATTAGTTGAGACAAAACTAACAAAACGTTTTTTGGACCACGGTAGTACCATGATATTCTTTGAAATACTTTGGAGTACCATGGTATTATCATCTGACACCATCTGTTTACCATGGTAACGTCACAGTATTTTTTGTCAGGGTACATATGCTATATTCAGAAAGGAAATCATAATTCAGCTGAAACAAAACATGGAAATGGACGTTTCTGATGCCAGTTTAGCAACTGGCAATTTACTACTTCTGTGTGTTTGTCCTCTAGAAGAAAGTCATCCGAGTTTGGAACGACAAACATTTTCCTAAACTACTCCTTTAGCTGTCGTGGTTTGTGGCTTTCATGATAGGAATTCCAGACTCGGACAAGAGAGCTTTCCTCTGTCTGCTCAGCAGATATAATGGCTGTCAGTCACATGCAAGAAACTTCCTATTAGTCAGTGCCGGAAGGGGGAAGGGTCTGAGCGTTTAGACATTTTCCACTTTGGAATTCCACCTGCAACCATTTTCAGCAAAAACAGTAACACCACAAAGCAAGCATGTGAACCTTACCTCCAGTTCGGTCTCCCATCTGTTGATGTTATCTGTCGACTGATTCAGTTTCTCCAGTTCACCCTGTTGAAGAGATAAAGTGAGGCAGAAGGAGTTAAGATCGCAATCTCTTGCAATACAAGCAGGCCGACAGCATCTGGGAAGTGTTATTCAAGTAACCCAGCACTGAGATTAAGCTCATATGTATGCTTTCCTTCGAAGTTAGCTACATGCTGATGACACACATATGTTGTTTTCATTACAAGATAATGTGTTTATTTTCTTTCATGGGTGGAGGATGAAAAACCAGTTAATCTAGCACAACTAGCACACACAGTCTAACACAGAAAGGTTATTCACTTTCAAGAGAAATGCATCATTTAAAGGGATAGTTCACCCAAAAATGAAAATTACCCCATGATTTACTCACCTTCAAGCCATCCTAGGTGTATGACATTCTTCTTTCAGACGAATACAATCGGAGTTATATTAAAAAACATCCTGGCTCTTCCAGGCTTTATAATGGGAGTGGATGGTAGCCCAAAATTTGAAGTCTAAGAAATTGAACCAATCCATTATAAAAGAAGTCCACACGGCTCCGGGGGGTTAATAAAGGCCTCCCGAAGTGATGCATTTGTGTAAGAAAAATATCCATATTTACAACTTTATAAACCTTAATCTATATTTTTAGGACTTTTTTGTGAATAAAAAGAATCTTAGGCCTATTATTCTTACACCTCATATTATAGCAGACTTAATTCTGCATGTGCTGCACGTGAGCTCAACTGTTTCCTTTACCAACCCGATCTCATGAAAGTGCGTATAAATAGTACGCCAAATAAAAACGAAAACTCGTGGTATTGATACGCAAAAATGGACTTTGGCGTGTATATGCTACGCGATGGGTAGGTTTAGGGTTGTGGGGTAGATGCGTATCATATGTACGCGAAAACTGCATATCATATGCACGCCAAAGTCAATTTTTGCGTATCAATACCACGTTTTTATTTGGCGTACTATTTATACGCATTTTCTTGAGACCGGGCTCCCTTTACAGAGGAAAATGAGTTCTAAATATGACGTCAAAGTAAACATGATTGTCAACGCGGTTCCTCGGTGTAACAAACAATGAAACAATGTAACCGAATATAACAGCTGATGTAACAATGGGGTTCAAACAGCAGCTGCTGAACTCTTTGAACAAACAGAATAGGCTATCATCTGATCGGATTATTAATGCTTGAATCCAATCAGAGTTTGATGGCCCGGTCTAACTTCAGTTCTGATTTTGGAAAGGTTAAACAGGACTGAGAAAATCGGAGCAGTTTAACATAAGTAACAGTAATACCATATATGCGTTCAGTCGGGTTTCGTTCTAATCCGGTTTAAATGGGTTTGTCGATGTGAATTCGGGATTTTGTTGCTCTGTACCTGAATCCTCGGGTCAACCTCCTCTTCCTCCAGAGATTCCGAGTCTTCATCCGATTTGTTATCTTTCTCCGTGTCGTTCATTTCGATAGCAGACGTGATTCGTTTATTACTGGCCGAACAAAGCGGGTCTCTGTCCGGGATAACGGGCTCAGATGATCCGTGCGGAGCCGCTCATCTGCGGTCAAACCATCAGTACATCCAGAAAACGCGATTAAAAGAAAAGCACACAATCTTTCCTCATATCCAAAAGATACTAAATCTGCCGAAACACAAACACGCACACAAAACACCGGCAGACACGAGAATGAGAAGCGGCTCGAGCTCTGAGCTCGGCTGAGATCTTGCCCGCCCCCTCCGGTACAAACACTCGCTGTCCTGAATGAGGGTCCCTGCAGTTCACATGCACACACTCACACACTGAAGCGCTGTTATTTATATACTATAACACAGTATTTATTAATATTTTGAATTAGGTATTTCAGTTTTCATTTTAATTTTAGTTTTAATTTATTAGGCATTTTTTGAGTTTGATTTTTAATACTATTTAGTGTTATTTTTATTTCAGGTTCAGTTTTAGTAATTTTAGTACTTCGATTTATTGTATTTAAATTACTTTACTTTACTTTTAGTAATTTAGCAGACACTTTTATCCAAAGCGACTTACAAATAAGAAAAAGTAATTAAAACTAAAAGCTAAAACTCTATATTAGATACGTTAAAAATATTGAAGACACTGAAGGCACTAAACTTTAAAACTATGAAATCCCAATAAACATTCTGTGTGTGTTAGTGATATAGTGATAGTTGAATGTGATTCAGAAAAAATGTCTTTGCTGTTGCCTTTTCAATCAGTTTGCGAAATACTAAAAAAACGTAGTTTTTCCTGGTTCAATCCAGTGTGATCTTATTTGCTGTCAAAACAAAAAACTCTGTGTCAAACATAAACACAGACACAGCTACCTGATGCTCAGATAAAGTTCAATTATTATTAACCCTCTCTGCTTCTCAGGAGCCTGTTTACAGTTCATATACTATTTTTACTTTAGTCCTAAAAATGTAGTATAGGCCTATTAAAATAATAAAAGATATAGCGTCTAGAGATCAGATAAATAAATAGATGAGCAGTTGAAGGACAGTGTTTAATCGCAGGTTTATCAGTTTCCAAATGAATACTGACCCTAAACCTGCTTTGGTCAGAGAAACACACCAAACACTGGACTAATGGCGCCCTCTATTGGAGTAGAATAGATAAACAACTGAAATCTTTTCAATCTTGTGGAAAATAAGTTCTACAGTAGACTGTTCAATTTCAAGACTCTTTTGGGTGTTTTCCGTGTGTTTTAAATATGATCCCACAAAATGTAACGTCTATGATATAATATATACCTTCATAGAAGAATAGAGAATAGAATATTCTTTAATTGGTGATTTGGAATAAAGTTGAAGGCAGAAGCCAACAAAGCACATGTCCAGCATATACTTGAATGCATATATGATATGACATTTATTATGATTATTAATATAGAAAATATTCAGTAGGTATGAAGTGTAAACTGTTGGGAGAAAGGCTGTCTCTTTAGAGATGGTTCCTTATGAAGATGATGACGATGTGTTGTCATGTGACGTCATCCTGCCAAAGGACGTTGTTCTCCGCACAAGACAAGAGGGCTGAACCGGGTCCGGCCCTGCTAGTACTATGGTAAATAAATATGGTAAATATGTTTTCTGGCCAGAATATATTTTAAATATATGCTACATGGATGTTGTAAAGTGTGGAGCTCAATAAAATATATTTTTTAAAATTGAAATTATATTCAGTTTCAACCTTCATATACCGAAATATATTTCAAAATGTATTTCAGGGGCAAGAAAATAGTGTGAGAATTGTAATATTGTTCTTCAAATGTGACACGTGAATGTATTTTCTTGGACTGAAATATATGGAGGGCAAAATTTATGTTTTTAAATGCTTTTAAAAATATATTTATATTTTAAAATAAAATCTAAATGAAAAATTTGAATCAAAAATTTACAAAAATATAAATTGGTAGAAAATATGCAAAATATACAAAAAAATATATCGGTAGAAAATATACAAAAATAAATATATGTATGTAAAATAAATTTTGGAACATATATCAACTTTAATTTTTGTACGTGTATATGTAAAATATATTAGATTTTTTTGACGGGATGGTGTACATTGAAGTTAATTCGAGTATTACAGAAATATGAAGATGGTAATCATTCAGTATGATATATATTGAATACTATCATTGTAAGCTGCTATTGCTGAAAAACTTTTTATTCTTGCACGTTTTGAGGCCTTTATCTCAAAGCAGATGAAATTATGTCACTGGTTTTTGACTGCAGTACTCCATACATGCTTAGCTGTTTTTTGTTTTTTTTGATGTGTAGGATTGTAAGATGCAACAATTTCATTTTAGAAGTTTAATATGCAGGGTATAGACTGATGCATATGGCCTGGTCAGACAGGCACGGGTCATTAATGCAGGTGTTTTATCGGCACAAAGTTCTTATGCACACAGTTCACTAGACACTGTCTCAAAGGAATAAATAGTGCAGATATTCTGTTTTTTTGTGCTGTGATGTAGTAAAAACAAATGCAGCATTTGCATTAATGCTCCTCTTGCGCATGTCTGTTAGATGCATGTTTGCTTTCCATTCAGGAATCGGTTTAAAGGTTTGAAATGAACCACGAGAGTTTACTGTAGTTCCCTCAAATCACACCACATGACCAGACCACATCAGACCGCTGCACCAGAGTCCCAGAGCTCACAAAAATATCAGCACATGCACCGGCAGAACAGGGATCTGATTACTCACACCGATCAATACACCGTTCAGTAAGATCACACACACAGAGAGAGAGATTTTTCTTTATTAATAGATAAAAACTACAGTGGATCCCAAAAAAAATGAGAGCACTTTAAAAATCTGTGATGGTCGTGTATTTAAAACTACAAATGAGCAGGATTTTGAACATTTTAAAACAAAGAAACGTGATGTAAAATTAACAATAAATATTTCTTCTTGTGCAGGTCACTAATATGTAATTCTTCAGTGCAAATTTTCACTCAGATTGTCATGTTGATAATATAATAATGTAACGAAATTCTAGAAAACAATGTAAAAAATAAAATGTTTTGCTAGATTTGGTGTAGAAACAACTTTCACTTAGAATTCCACAAATATTGACAAAGAAACAGCAAGTAATGCATTGAATTTAAATTTTGAAGTAGAAAGAATGAAATAGTAAAACATGCTCTAATATATATATATATATATTTTTACAACTTCAAAACATTTTTTTTTTTTACACTGCATATAAAGTGCAGTGCAGTTGATTGGATAATTTTAACTAATATCCAAATAGCTATTTAGGCATATTTTAGCAAGCTTGCATTCAATCTATCTCAACCCGCTTTTCACAATCAATTTCATTTAATTCTTATTGAATATTCTGTTCACCTGGAAATATGTTGGATTATAAGTATAAGGGGTTGTGAATGGCCACTAATGTTGACTTTAAAATAAAATGAAAGGAAATGGTAACAGATTATAAGAATGATGCTTTAGCACAACTACTCACAACTAACTACAACTGAAACAACTACTTCACAACTAACTACACTGAAACTGAATTTTGTGAGCTCCTCTGATTTGGCCTGTGGTGTTTTTTTTCCTCCTGGTTCCTGTGAGCTCTGGGCAGATGCATAAATAATCAGCCTGTCTCTCTGAAATCAGTAAAAGAAAGTTTTCTCTTCAGGGCATTTGCTCACAACACAGCTTGAGCGGAGCTCTCTGGAGAAAGACAGAATGTGTAGAATTGATGCTCCCTGCTGAAACAGGAAGTTGGGCTGGGACATATCAATATTAATAACCTTTAACCAATTGTTGAGCATTAGAATTCTGCAGACTTTTACATTTTACATCTGTGTATTTACTGAATTTTAGTTCAAGTTTGCTTGTGCATTTAGCTGCATTAGCTGTTTTCTTCTATTTAATAAAACCATAAGGTGTTACATACACTGGAATGGTGTAAGCTTATTTTTATTAGAATTCTCTCTTCTATTGTATTCAATTTTTTTTCCCCTCATTAAACATTTTTCTCAAATGCAGTTTGGCAGGAGAAGATTATTTGGGCCATCTACTGAAAAATGGTCCCTCTCGCTCGGATAAATATAACGGGACAAAGAGTTTTAGTGTCCCAGATTCTCTGCTGGAAGCTCAACTTTGACTTCAGAGAATTCCTTTTAACCATATATGGACCCATTTTATAAATCCAGAAGTAAAAATATCAGGGAGTTTGAGTTAAAATATTTTTACAACATTCATATTTTTAGTCTGATTGTAGTTTCCATCTGACAAACAAATTCTTCCTATTGCAAATGCTTACTAAATGTGTAAAGGTTTTCATGAACATGCAAAACACTGTTTACTGTGCTTTGCAACTCCATGAAGCACAAATATAAAATTTATGCATTTGGCAGGCGCTTTTATACAAAGTGACTTAAATTGCATTTAATATAGATTTTTATCAGTTCATGCACTCGCTGGGAATCGAACCCATGACTGTGGTGTTCGCGGCATGTTTGAGCTTCAATGTAAAGTGTATTTATGAAAAAAAAAGACAAAACACCCCACCAGATTTATTTGGGGAAAAATAGAGCAGTATTAAAATTTGGTTGAAATATGGCTGAATAAATATTTATACGCACACAATTAAATCTAAAACTAAATCTTAAATACCTAAAATTCTAAATCATAAAGATGAATTTAAACATCATCATCAATAAATGCAGATCTTGAGCTAAATGTTTAGTTTTCTGTGAAGCTGCTGGTGAAATGATGTATTTGTGTGTTTTCAGCATGTATGGAGTGAGAGCGAGGACTGTCTACCATTCCTGCAGCTCGCGCAGGACTACATCTCCTCCTGCGGGAAGAAAACACTGCTGGAGGTACTGGACAAAGTCTTCAGATCCTTCAGGCCTGTAAGTCTCTCTCTCTACATTCTAAGCACAATAAACAATTATACAGTTCCTTAGTTTAACTTTGCATTTTTTAATGCATAACGTCTACCAAGCAGTCCATATAAGCTGTGAATGCTCTGCATACCCAAGCCATTTGAGAGATTGAGATTTTTGAGAATTATAACTATAAATTCCCTTGGCATTTGAGGTGTAACATAAGGCTTACATAATAAAATGTTGGAAATATGCATGTAGCTGGCAATTTTCTGCAAATCTGTGCCAGTTACAGAGGCCTTTGACGTTGGCGTCTGTACTCTTTTGCTATGAATCGTCATTATTGTTGCATGGACTCATTGGTTTGTTGGCAGGCGGGTGATTTCATGCACAAGGAAAGCTGAAAAGTCACACTGTATCTGATGCAAAACTAAAAACGCGACTAAATCAAATTAAAATGTTGTAACTGTACATTTTCATGTTTTCTCAAACAAAACAAATGCTGAAAGTTCACTGAAAACATATCTTCTTACATTTTTTTTGGCATAAACAAAGTGTGTTGATGGTATTTAGCAACATGCTTGAGCAAATGAATCAAAGTGAAAATGTCTGAAGATTTTTATTGTTCCGTTTTGTTTTCCCCATGCTTGACAAATCTTGCATGTGTGACATGTGTACAGACATTTTTCAAATGTTTTGAACGTGACTGATGCAATCAGGTTTTAGAGCCAAAACTATCTGTTTGCAATCTTATAATGGAATCTTTGGAATGTCAATGCGTGTTACTTTTGAAAATTCAGTTTTGTTCTGTTCTGGTTTGATTCTATTCTATTTTGTATGGAATGATTGTGAAATTGTCCTGCAGCTCCTGGGTCTTCCAGACATTGACGATGAAACATTCGATCAATATCACGCAGACGTGGAGGAGGAACCAGAGCCAGACCACCAGCAGATGGGTGTGAGCCAGCAATAATGCCCAGCAGAGAGGCTCCGCGCTGGGCCACAGTCTCTGCATCGAGCCCTGCTCTCCTAACCTAACTCACCTGGCTCTTCTTCTTACATACACAAACACACACCGCACCATTACACCATTTAAAATCTGGACAGCTTTTCCTGCACCCTGATTTGAACTCAAATGATCATTATTTTGGTTTATATTATTTCTCATTAACTTCTCATCACATTCAAGCAGACACAAAACAAATATCTCATTCCCAGCCTTTATAATTTTTTTTTTATATAACCTGTCATGTGACTGGAGGTAGTAAATAAGAAACTTATGTTCAGAATGGTATGCTAGTGTACTGTATATTGCTGCACTGTCGTCACATGATCTCATTACTTTGCATGTTTAATTCAGTGTCATGCAAAATAAGGATGTTTTGCATTTCGCATCCAATTTTGTGGTAAAAACATTTGAATTCTTGACAGTGTGATCAAATTTTAAAAATCGCAGTCGGTATCACGTCCTATTCATTCATCAGATTGGAAATAACTTCTCATCACATTCAAGCAGAGACAAAACAAATATCTCATTCCCAGCCTTTATAATTTTTATTTTTTATATATATAACCTGTCATGTGACTGGAGGTAGTAAATAAGAAACTTATGTTCAGAATGATATACTAGTGTACTGTATATTGCTGTCGTCACATGAGCTCATTACTTTGCATGTTTAATTCAGTGTCATGCAGTTGTCAAAAATTAGGATGTTTTGCATTTCGCATCCAATTTTGTGGTAAAAACATTTGAATTCTTGACAGTGTGATCAAATTTTAAAAATCGCAGTCGGTATCACGTCCTACTCATTCATCAGATTGGAAATGGAAGGTAAATGATGCACATTTTGATAAATTCTGTCATCCGGGTATTTCTTGCAAACACAAAATTTACATGCAAAATAGTTATAGTAGTATGCTAGTATGATATTCTGAACATAACACTTGTGAATTTGCCTTAGGTAAATAACTAAGGAAAGTCGCTTTTTTATGTGCACTGATGAATTGTTGACAATAAGACCAGGAACATGTATTAAGAAAGTAAATATGGTCAATTATTTTGATTTCATGTTGACTGTGGATAATCTAGATATCCATTGTGGATCTACTATAACCGTGAATAAGACATTTAACCCCAGGTCTTGTGCTTTAAATCTCTCCAAAATACCTGCTAAATGACAAATAACCAAAGCTGATTGCAAGTGCATACAAAGTATCTGTTGTCAAGGATCAAATTAAACAAGATCAGAAGGTAAATCTGATTATCGCTGGGGCAGAGGTGATGGGGTTAGTGTGTTTTTGGGTGGGTGAGACGTTTAAACAGACGCTTGATTAATCCTCTCTTTGCCTTTATTGTCTTTTGATTGTATTAATCAACATCCTCTGAGTTCAGAACAGTTAACTCAGAGTTTAACCAGAGAAAGGTCAAACTGTGTATCTTAAGTCTAAACTCTTAAAATAAAGGTTCATCTGCGGTTCGACACTGAATCCAATTCTTATCAAGATCCGTTTTTGGCCTCATAGGGTTCTTGAGTTGATATGGACTTCTTTAAAGGTGCTCTGTACGATTTTTATCTATAGAATCAGCACACACCCATTTGCTGTTTAAATATATAGTGTAGTGATGACATCCTTAGCAGAGAGTGAGGTCTGCACAAGAAAAATGCAACTGTAATCTGTTACAGATACTGAGAAAAAAATGTGTAATTAAATTACAGTTACTTATGAAAATGTTAACAATTACAGGGGTTACATCTGAATATTTTCACACACACACTCACACACACACACTCACACACACACTCACACACACATCTTAGTGAGGACATTGTATAGACTTCCATTGATTTTCTATCAGGTTAATGATATTTTCTATCAGCTAACCCAACTGCTACCCCTAAACTTATCCATCACAGAAACATGTGCAGAACACTATATTTACATTAACAACATATTTTGGCTGATTATTAAGCCTCTTTAACTAGTGACGACCAGTCAAATGTCCTCACTAGTGGGTTGTCATGATCTTTAACTATATAAGTGAGGACATTTGGTCCTCCCAAGTATAGTTAAACCAGTACACACACACACACACACACACACACTATGACCAAAGCAAAACAGTAATCATGAATCAACAAATTAATTAAAACAGCAACAAGGTTTGTTCATTACACGCTGCAATACATTTTCAAAAATATTCAAAGGAGGAATTGCTTTTAATGGAGTAATAATTTGAAAATAGTCCACAACCAAGGAGCATAGTAAGAGAAAGCTGATTTTCTGTGTTCTGAATGCACCCCAGGTACTTCTAACTAAATCCCAATTGATTATCTGGAGGAATAATCCTACGCAAGCATAATTTAACTAGTGACGACCAGTCAAATGTCCTCACTAGTGGTTTGTCATGATCTTTAACTATATAAGTGAGGACATGTGGTCCTCCCAAGTATAGTTAAACCAGTACACACACACATACACACAGATTTAATTGATTTTATTGATGAAATAGATTTTTCCCCAAAATGCCTTGACTGTTCTAAAATATGAGACACCAATGTTTCAGGAGTTTAAAATAGGACACATGCTTATTCGATAACTGTTTTATTTTCTATTTGTGTTTATGTATATGCTTTATTTTTTAAGATTAACTGTTTCCTGACATATTTGCTACGCAAAGACTTGATTTCAAAAAGAGTATCATAGCTATTAAACTACTGTATCTTATGATCTTAAATTTGTATTTAACCTCCGAACGATCTCAAAGTTTAAAAAAAGGTGCTAAAGTCTGATTTTGTGGTGACTGTGCTTTAAAATCAAAGTATTATACTCTTAATTCAAGTGGATTTTTGAGGATTTTGAAAGTCTGACAGTAATCAGTGTTGAGTACTATACTGTAAGGTTAACCCTGCCTGGTTTACATGTTTAAAAATGTTTAACAGTTAAAAACATTCATTTGAAATGTAGAAAAGTAATCCAAAAGTAATCAGTTACATTAATAAGGTAATTGAAATAGTTACACTACTTATTCCATTTTAAATAGGGTAACTTCTTGTAATCTGTAACCTATTACTTTTCCAAGGTAACCTTCCCAACACTGGTGTCTTGTAATCCGAGCTTTCATGTTATTTTTTTCGGCAGTCGGGATGGCCGGGGCGTGTTTGTTATTGTATGTAAGCCACTCCCTTTATAACTTATGCCCCACCCCGCATTTATAATGAAACCGCCTACACCGCTCTGGAAAAGCAAGATGGCTTGACGTCTACATTTACATCTGCAAGACGTATTTTTTTAGAGTGTTTGCTCATCTGCTATACGTCGATAGGACGTTTCCTATCAGATGTCTAATAGACGTTTAGAAAATGTCTTTAAGATGTTTATGATTTAGAGTGTATGTAAAACTGACATCTGAAAGACGTCTATCAGCAGTGTGCTATCTGGGTCGTTATCTTTCAAGTTTTTGATGTGTTGTGCGAGAAGGGGCGTGGCCGAGGCGCACATTTTGGTCTGAGATGCACTGCTCCCGTGCAACATCTAGTAGTTGAGAAATCATAGCACCTTTAAAGAAGGCGTTGAAGTTCTTAAAAATCTGTTTTTATAGCATTTTTTTTTTAAAGAACCAGAGACTAAATAGTTGGAATTGTAATGTAACATCAAACTGTAAAACCCTGGATATCACCAGAACCTTTATTTTTAAGAGTAGGCCCATATATATCAGCTGATTCAGGTGACTGCTGTGTAATGGTCATGTGACCTGAATGTCTTTAAGATGTTTATGATTTAGAGTGTATGTAAAACTGACATCTGAAAGACATCTATCAGCAGTGTGCTATCTGGGTCGTTATCTTTCGAGTTTTTGATGTGTTGTGTGAGAAGGGGGCGTGGCCGAGGCGCACATTTTGGTCTGAGATGCACTGCTCCCGTGCAACATCTAGTAGTTGAGAAATCATAGCACCTTTAAAGAAGGCGTTGAAGTTCTTAAAAATCTGTTTTTATAGCATTTTTTTTTTAAAGAACCAGAGACTAAATAGTTGGAATTGTAATGTAACATCAAACTGTAAAACCCTGGATATCACCAGAACCTTTATTTTTAAGAGTAGGCCCATATATATCAGCTGATTCAGGTGACTGCTGTGTAATGGTCATGTGACCTGATGTCGCAGTTGCCATGACTTGTTTAAAGCATCATTTATCTGCTGTCATGTTATCAGTACAAACACTTCATGATGGAAGGACTGCACAGACAGCCACAGGAGAGGTCAGCACGGGCACAACATGTTCCTCCGGGACATACTGTATGTGAATTTGCTGACGTTACACATGTGGCCACTAAACTTCCTGTCTTCTGCTTCCATAGTGTCTTCCTGCACACGCCCAGTCTAAAGTGAAGCCTAGAGATGAATTATACCAACATTAAATGGAAGTGTTACTGAGATCAAAGCTGCTGTTTTTATGTAGTTATGTAACAGCTCTGTACCAGATTGTGATATTTTATTTTATTTTACTGTTTATTTATTTGTCCCATGGTCTAAACTTCTCAATTTTGCCACTTTTTGTGTAATGTTACTTTCTTTTGCTTGACCATGTTACTTTATGTAACTTAACCTTTTAAAAATGTATTTGCTTGTTTATATGTATTCATTTTTTTTTCACCTGACTGTCTTCATTGTGTAACAGTGAAAGCTTTATACCGGATTTGTGATTTCTATTTTATTTATTATTTATATTATTTATTAACATTTACCTATTGCTTAATTATTTTATTTTACTGTTTATTTATTTGTCCCATGGTCTAAACTTCTCAATTTTGCCACTTTTTGTGTAATTTTACTTTCTTTTGCTTGACTATGTTACTTTATGTAACTTAACCTTTTAAAAATGTATTTGCTTGTTTATATGTATTCATTTTTTTTCACCTGACTGTCTTCATTGTGTAACAGTGAAAGCTTTATACCGGATTTGTGATTTCTATTTTATTTATTATTTATATTATTTATTAACATTTACCTATTGCTTATTATTAGCCCTTTTATGATTTATTTATATACTCCTTTGTGTGTGTAAATCCATATTTTCGTCACCTTTATAACTAATAATTTAATTTCTAAGAAGATTGTTCAAATCTTACAGTGTGGTAATTGGAAATATTGTTATTGATTTTAGATTAATATTGATCAGCCTGTTGAGCCTGTAGAGTCATTTAGAATTAAACTGGAGTAAAATTCGTTTGGGTCAGCATGTACTGTAACCTAAAATTCAACAATTAAATTCGAACCTTATGAGTGTATTCTGTATTTCTTAGCCTTAAAGAGGTCATATGATGCGATTTAAAGTTTTCCTTTCTCTTTGGAGTGTTACAAGCTCTTGGTGCATAAAGAAGATCTGTAAAGTTGCAAAGACTAAAGTCTCAAATCCAAAGAGATATTCTTTATAAAAGTTAAGAGTCAGCCACACCTACCTAAAACGGCTCGTTCTAACACGCCC